GTTGGCCAGCGCGAAACCCTGACCTAACCCTCCTTCATTATTATGTGTTTCGTTATATGAAAGCGCTAGTTCCTGAAACCCCAGTAAATACCCGGGAAGAGCTCATACAACCGATAACCAACGCTGCTGAGCACATACAAAATGACAACTAGAATACTCGCTAGAATATCAAAGACGGAAATAAGAAGATGCTGCCGAACATGTATTCGTATTAATTGAGGTTCTCACTTTGAACAGGATTTGTAAGAAGTAAATACTAATAGAAATTTTCCAAGTATACATTTTAACTATTCATTGAAAATAACAAACCCGTATCAAGCACTTTTAGTTTAATTTGTATATCAACTTTTGCATGATGCGTATTAGGTTGAATTCACTCCTTACCACCTCCTCCAAAGGAATGTATCGAATCACCAGTAACCCTGTATAAGTTCATTTTACAGGTATATCAGTCTCTTTCGGTTTTTGGAAATAAATGCATCAATCTTTACCAGGGGTGGGTCAAGTACGGCCCGCCACGGACTTTAATCCAGCCCGCCAACAATGATACCAAAGAAGCTAGCAAGGCCACTTTCGAATTTCAACATGAGACACATCTCATAATTTTAGGTTCATTTTGGGCTAATTTATTACCCCATTCCCGAATTTTTTGCTCCTCCCTATCATAGAAAAATCCTCGGAAAAATCAGCGGCTTTGCTAGCTTCGGCCGAACTCAGCAATGCAGCAAAAAATTCCAAAATGCAATAGTTATTGAGCTTATAATCAATACCAACACTTTGTCGTGAAAAAATCGTCATAAAATATGCTTTTGATAAACATACATGATGTATAGTGAATAAACGCGTATTTCGACGAATCGTTTCGGTTTGTTTTAGTTTGAAACATCGAGCAAAAAATTCGAAAATAGGGTAATTAAAAAGGGTAATTAATTAGCCTAAAATTAGCTCTCCAATATCGATATATCAAATCAGTGAAAAATATATTATTTTAAAAAATGGCTTTGCTGAGTTCGTCCGAAGCCAGCAAAGCCACAGGTTTCTTTTCAAAAATATGTAGCAAGAAATTCCAAAATGTGATAGTTATCAAGCTTACAATCAATACGAACACTTCGCCCCATGAAATCGTCATAAAATATGCTCTTGATAGAAATACATAATGTACAGTGAATGACGCATATTTCGACAAATTGTCTTGTATTTTTTCTGTTTGAAACGTTGAGCAAAAAAACGAAAATACGAGTGAAAATAGGGTAATCAATTAGCCTAAAATTAGCCCCGTTAATCTCAATATATCAAATCAGTGTAAAATATATGTTTTCAAAAATGGCTCTGCTGAGTTCGGCCGAAGCTAGCAAAGCCACAGATTTTTATATGATAGAGAGGAGCAAGAAAATTGGGAAAAGGGTAATAAATTAGCCTAAAATGAGCACTACATTCTCACTACATCAGATATTCAAAAAATATTGTTTTTCAAAAATGGCTTTGCTGAGTTCGGCCGAAGTTAGCAAAGCCACAGCCTAAAATTATGAGATGTGTCTCATGTTGAAATTCGAAAGTGGCTTTGCTAGCTTCATTGGTATCCAACATTGCCTACTTTAGTAGAGTCACAGATCAGACAAACATCTACTCTGTGGTAGAGTAATTACGAGTATGGCGTTCGGAATTGAATTTAAACAGTCATGGCAATGTTCGCGGCTCCGTATACGTTGCGAACAAACATTTTCAATCATGCATGAATATGCGAAAAAACATCTTCGAAGCAGGGTAACTGACGAACACCTTATCTCACTGAAAGTATTATCGTCTCAGATCGAATCCGCTTACGAGGACATCGATTAGGTAGATAGCTGCTTGGACTTATCATGCGATGTTTTTTTTTCGAAAATTTGTTTTTATTACTTACGTATGTTTGTCAAAAAAACACAAATTTGATATTGCAAATGTGAACAAACCATTATTTAATAAGATATTTCACTATAAAGTTACAAATTTCACCTTCTCTGACGCCCTCGCTGACGCCTCTCTTTTGGATCACATTTGGAACAATTTGCCAATTTGCCCTTCTTTTTCCATCATTTTACAATTGATATATCACAATGTACTCCAATGAGACACTTTTTTCTATATGAAAGTCAACTAGAAATTTGAGTTTTTTTCGATTTATCCATATTTATTGATGGAAAGAAGGAAGAATATCATTTAAAATAATGGCGTGTGTAATGTTCTTCAAAAGCAATCTGTTGACATTTGACATCTCGTATTTGGATTGATTATGGATTAAATGGCCGTCATCTGATATGATTTTTCACTAAATATGAAAAACTCGCCATAAAAATCACATTTCGTGTTGAATTTACTATATTAAAATGTGTCATTGTCAAGTACATCATGAATATAGAAAGTGTCCAATGACTCAATGACAAAATAAGAAGAGCAAGTAGCTATAAATGCATTGAACAGGGGAAAAAAGAAGGCGAAATATCGAACTTCTTTTTGAAATATCCCGATAAATAGTGGTTTATTGACATTTTTAAAATTAAATTCGTGTTCTTCAGATAAAAATACGCAAGTACCAAAAACAAATTTTCGAAAGAAACCCATCGTATGATAAGTGCAATTTTACCGCTGCTTGTTTATATCAGTCTATCTGTAACTTTCGTAATATAGTTTTTTTTTGTAAAATTTGTACAAGTACCTATCGCTACTTCGGAGTTGAGAAGCAACTCCCCAGAAATCGAAACTTGTGGGGTGTTAGGAAGGGCCTATACAGTTTTTGGTGGAACTCGAACCACTTCTAGGGCACCGAGATGCTGCCAGGAAAACAAACAAGAATCACACATTTTTAAGAAAAATGCTGAGTCGAGCCGGATTCGAGATGACAGCACCCAGCACCTTTGCATCGTAAATGGTTCTAAACAAAATTGAGTATCGAGTTGATCGTCTTCTCATTTGTAATTCATTCCAGCCGCCCCCTCACAGAATTTATTCTATTATTCTGGCCCCTCGTGGAAAAAGTGGTAAAAGTATAGCACACATCATGCGATGTTTTGTTTTTCGAAAACTTTTTTTGGTACTTACGTATTTTCGTCTGAAAAACACTAATTTCACAATGAAAATGTGAACAAACCGCTATCTATTGAGATATTTTATCAAAAATGCGAAATTTCACCACGTTTTGACAGCCATCTTGGATATCAATTTATGTATAGGTATGGTTTATTCTTCCAGATTTTTTGGGATGTCCTCTCCTTGTTTTTATAAAATGAAAATATGAATATTATTTCAATATACGAGTAGTAAGGACAAATCAGATTATTTGCCCCAAAATGTCACTGCGTTTAAAGGATTTTCCTATCAGAGAGCCTAAACGAAAAATTCACTAGCTTGTCAGTGATAGTTTGTATTGAAAAAGATTTGGAAAAGAGAAATAAAGGTACCTATATAGGAAATACCCATTTATAAAATTTTCACTTAGCTTCGGACGCTTCGGGAACGAATCTGATCCCGTTTTCAACATAAGTGAACATTTCATATTTTTTCTATATAGGTACCTTTATTTCTCTTCTCCAAACACTTTTCAATACAAATTGTCACTGGCAAGATAGTGAATTTTTCTTCTAGGCTCTCTGATAGGAGAATTCTTTAAACGCAGTGACATTATGGGGCAAATCATCTGATTTGTCCTTAATACTACACGTATATTGAAATAATATTTTTATTTTCATTTTATAAAAACGAGGATAAAATCCCAAAAAATCTGGAATAATGAATGTACCACCTCCTCGATAAACCTACAGACAGTATTTATTTATGGTTTATTTGGAATTTTTTCATACTCTTCTTCTTCTTCTTCTTCTTCTTTTGGGTTTATTGGATTTCTGTCACCTTTCGGTAACAATTTCTCCAGATCAGGTAATTAATTTTTTTCAAGAATATATATGGTTATGTAATAATATTATCTCTCGACTCGAGCACTAAAGACACCGTAGTCCGTCACCATGCCCGGAAGCCGAGTTCATCAATGTCAAAGATTCTATCGTATGTGCTGAGCACGTTTGATTTCAAGAATGGCCCCTTTATCCGGTGAATCCGTCACCATCCGGCCTCTATACCGGCGTAGAGATAAAAGGGCTTGATAATTTTCACAAACACTTATTAAACTTCACAATAAATATTGGATTTTAATCCAGATCAGGTAATTAGAAAAATTAAAATTATAGACTTGCACACACATTAACCTGACTTTTGACCTGGAGACGCCATGTGTCTCCTTCCATGGTCAAAAGGCGAATCCCTTTTCATACTCTAGAGAGATAAACAATCACACCAGCTGACGGCCATTCAATTATCAAATCTAAATACAAATCACAGAACTCAAAATACAAATACGTGATGTCAAATGAAGGTCAAATGTCAAAAAAAATTTGCAAGAAACTAGAGAAACCAAACTTTTGTTTACCTCACTAAATATGAATCCAAATAAACAGAAATAAACCATGATTTCAGGAAATAAAACGCGTTATTGAAGTAGGTACAACGAGAGTATATGGAGTGTCCAGTGATTGAAAAAGAAGGACAAGTAGTTGTGAATGAATATCCTAGATGGGTTGCAGAAGAAGGTGAAATTTACAACTTTTCCATAAAATATGTCCATATAATAGCGGTTTGTTCACATTTTCATTGTGAAATTCGTGTTTTCCAGACGAGAATACGTGAGTACCAAAAAAAATTTCGATGATCTTCTCCTGAAGATGCTAACATAGTTAGCGAAACACGTGTCGAGGCGTTCAAAACATAGGTTTGGTCAAAGTTTACAGAATTAAAATTTTATTCTGTAAACTTTGGTTTGGTTAGTGGTGAAACCGAGGGTAAAACAGTGTAGTGTATTATCGTGCCAAAGGTTCCAGTCTTCGATATATCGTATGATAAGTGCACTTTTACCGAAAAAGTTTGCCCACCACTGATCTATACGATGAGTAGGTATTAGCCCGTTTACTCACTGGTGTTATTGTTGTTTTTGCTCATAATTTTCCTCGGCAAAGACGGCGAAATCGAGTTCCTCTGCAGGACGATCTGGGACGCGGTAACGCACACTTTCGGCGATTGTCTGGCACTCGAACTGCCCGTACAGTTTCCCAAAACCCCCGGAAAATTCGCGGGAACGACGGCTCCAGGCCCGTCCGATTCCTGGCCGTTCTGAGTCCCGTCCATCTCAAAGGTCATCTAACAAACAACGGCGATTCTGATTGGAACATCAACATCCGCCGCGAGCGAAAATGACATCTAGTTCGTTCGACAACGTGCACTATGCAACTGACAGCCGGTGCAAAGTGGTGGAACTGCAACGGAGTGGATTTTGTTTTGTTTTGGTCCTTGCCCGCTACGATAACGCGCGTACCCCCACCACTAGAGGGTAACTCGTGTTGTACCGATGTGATGTATGATTCGAGCTATGGGGTGGGTAGACTTTCAAGCAGGGTTATTGCTTGATGGGGTCGCGCAATTTCAGGGGTTTGTTTCACACTAGACTACAGTTTTTTTTTGGGAATTTCGGTTAGACGATGCGGTCATTTGCATCTTGAGAATTTGCGTTTGGACGAAAGGATTTTCTTCTCAGGAGGGCGCACAATAGAATGATTTAATAGGGAAGCTCTTCTAGTGCCGTTTTTTTTTTCAGAAAAGGCGCCAAGTGTCGTTACCTTTCGCGCTGCTATGAGAACATCAGGGGTGACCCCAATGACCCCAAGACTAGTGTGGATAATAATATGATGGCATACCTGATATGATGGTACTCATTCATTTCATTCGAATATGGATAGTTCGACAGTTGGCCGCGATTCAAAGGTGTATCATAACTAACGTGACCATTTATTCTTTTACTCAAAACGGGACATTGGTTCATTCAGGTCACTTAACAGATAATCAATGAACACGTTTTCAAAGATATATATTTATTCAGAAAAAGTTAGCTTGAAAGATACGAATTAAAAAATAGACCCAAAATGTTAGTTTTATTTATATTTACCAGAGGAACAAATTTGCTTTAATATAGCTGGTGCTGATGATATCAAGTAAGAATAAAACTCTTGGCACGTTTTCTTTATATTCACCTTGATCATCAACATAGCCTTAAAACTGGAACTTGTAACTGGGTTTTCTCAGATGTCCACAATTTGTTCATCACAGAAAAAACTCTTTCTACTGAAGCATTTGTAGCTGCAGGCAAACATAAAATATATTCAATCAAAATATTAATATTAAAGTTTTTATGTTGAAGATTGTTGGCGTGAAACATTTAGATTACTCCATTCGGTTACTTTTTGCGATGTAATGTAGTTAGAAATTAATGAAGGTTCGTCAAAAACTTCTGTATCCTTATTACATTCAATATATCCCTTTTCAATTAATACTTCCAGAGATTTTTGAACGTCTTTCCATGTGGGGACCTTTTTCAAATCTGCCAATAAAATATCTCCGTTTCTTTGGACTTCCTTAAGCAAGTCCACTGCTCCAGATATCCACGGCTTGTTTTATAAAATTCTGTGGTCGTCCTTATCACAAACTCTTCATCTATATCAGTACCATTTATACGTCCATGATCAGTACCATTATCTTTCGATTTCACTATCAATTGACGGACCGAAAATGTAAGAAACTGATTGGTCTGTTTCTGACTCAATTTGTCGTTTAGTTAATCGATTTCTTTTGCAGCTTCAATTGCCGATACAGTCTTACCTTCATACCTTCAAGTTTCAATACAGCTTGATGAAAACTTGCTGACTGAGCGTCCAAAAAATAAATCCACAATTCGGATGTGGGATCTTCAAAAAGTAGTTTTTCAATGGCTGATACAAAACCTTTTTCAAGGAAGGAATAAGAGCAAGCCAGCTGGTTTTGCTATAGCCAAGCATTTGTTGATATTCCGGTCTCGCTCTCGCACACTTCTCGACTACTTGACTACTCAAATTTTTGCGCGATTTCTGAAAACGGGACAATTTTGCGTCCCGCGGAGTTCATTCCGGGGACACCGGGACTCGTAATCATAACAAGGGACAGTCCCGTTCAAAACGGGACGTCTGCATGGTCACGTTAATCATAACGCTACTGTAACAATGGCGTATGGTTTGTTCCCGTTTAGCTGCCGCATGAGATTGTTTTAATTATTTACAAGTACAAACTTTCCTTTTCACCTACACATTGAACCAATTTGTAGTTGCATCCATGAATATTGGTAATTTTTTATAGTCATATGTGATAAACAATAATAAGCTTCCCATAGGTATATATCCTTTACTCTCATTAATAATTTTAGCTCAGAAAAAAATATTTAACGATATCCACAGTGGTTACTCTTTTGATATGATGGCACCCCAAATGTTTGTTAATATGATGGCATTGAGGACTAGATGTTTATTCTTGCAAAAACAACCGAGTTCTTGTCAAAGAATATGCAGCTGATGATGTTGTGGAGTCAGAAAAACATACCAATCACCATCTACAATCAATTCTGATGCATCGTGAACTGATGAGCACTTTGAGAAAATATGACTAAGGTACAGCGAAAAGTGAATTTTCGATTGTTCTTGACTACCATAGACAGTCGCGGCGCGTTATAGTACATTTCTGGCGTCAGTGCGATATCTGACGACATATATAGTACGACATCTGACGATTCTCCTCGTATTCTAAACGGGAGAATATCTTTGGAAATTCATTGTGTGAAAGTTCGAATTGTCCCAACGAGAAACTATTAGCATAGGCCATAGGGTATACAAGCGTGTTATCACCTGTGATTATAAAGTCGACTTTGCTGATTCTTAGAAATCGAACCTTGCTAAGTGCATCAGCATGGTTTTTATATAGATAATGTTTCTGTAGTAGGTATCTGACTTTGCTACCACTAGTGAGTGCATCTTATAATGGGGTATGGGCAATGTTATATAATCATAGGTAGATAACTTTGCTAATATAGGTGGGTGAGCTTTTTTTACCTTAGAGCGCACGAAAGAAAATTCTTATAATGTTCGAAGAACATCGTGTGTACCTAGGGTAGGGAGGATAGGGAGAGGAGGTAGATGTAGAAATTTTGAAGGTTATAACTGTAAAAACTCAAAAAACGATAAGATTTCCACAAAATTATCAATCATTCTACATCATGCTCCGCTAACACAGTATAGCTTCATCAGGTGGAATACTGATGGTACAATGAAGCTGTGTTAGCAAAACTTGTCGTGTAATTAAGAATGTCCATCAAGTAACGGCCGAGTCAATTCAAAAAGAGGTTATAAGTTCTTGGGAATATAAAGTTAGTTGCATGACCTCCTTGCTGTAGTTATTCATCAGTTGTTTTCCAGGATTGTTGTTATAAAGCAAGGTAAAATTCTGACTGAAATTCATTTTTACTTTCCATTATATCCATCCTGTTTGGTATAAATTTATAGGTTCCTGAAGAAAATTTCGGAGCAAAGATCGATATATGAAATTCAATAGATATCAATTGATTCACCCTCAGGAAAAACAAAAGGTTTTTGCATGAGTTATTAATGAAAAAAATATATCTTCTGAAAACGTTTTAGAAGCAATGTATTTCGAAAACTATAGGCAAATTATTAAAGATGCCTGCACAACAAATTAGAAATGTTCCCCCTTGAAATTATTCAAATAATTTCATGACCTGAACATTTTTGCTAATATATAAGTTTTTAGACCACGTTCTATAAAGACGCCCTGCAACCAATTCGACAATTTTGAAGTTCCTTGGACCAAACAGGAGGAAATTTTGAATGTAACATATCAATATTTCAGTAAAAATACCTTGAATAAACTCATCTTCCTCTTTCCATCAATCCTGGTAATCCCTGTGGCACTCATCAGATCTACGAAAGCACTGACCTTTTGAATGTAATTTTCGAATATCTTACTGAAGTAGTTCCTTGTTCCTTCTAATAAACAAGGAAGTGTTCAGTGTTCGTGTGTGGAAATAAAGGGATGACTTCTGATCCTCAAGTTTTTACTACACTTTTGACCATAATTATTGTCTGTGTCTATATACTATTTTTCTATTTTTGTGATGAAATGCTGAAAATACAATACGGTTCTTGACTAAGCAGAAGCGGGGTTATTGGATTCTAGATCTAGTAACCTAACCTAAGATAAGTTACTAGAGCTGGTTGCAGGAATGTGGCGATGCTCTTGAGAAAGAAGCCAAACTTCTTCTGCCCTTAACAAATGGGCAGACGAGGCACTAGAAGGATATTGGAGGCGTATAGGCGGCTGCAGGCAATCGGGAGACCTGGTGGCCGGTCGAAGCAAGCCAAAGACGGCTTGGTTACTGGGCAGGGATCGCCAAATCCTGCGCCTAGGACAACTAAAAGAGGGATGTGTAGATATGTGGAGAGCAGGGGTTGGCAAAAGGGCCCATGGGGGCCTACTTGCCTGGCTACAGCCTCCCCACAATACTACTACTACTACTAGATCTGGTACCCTGACCTATGATATTTCACTAGATCTGGTAACCTAACGTGAGATAGTTACTAGATCTGGTAACCGAACATACGGAATGTTACTAGATCTTCATGTAATTGGGAGAACACGATTGGAACAACCTCGGGAAATTAAAACCAATGAATCCTTCACCTTGATTTTCTCACAGAAAAATTATTCGAGATGAGAGAAAAAGAGTTGACTCACATATACCTTGAAACTTGATGGGAGCACTATGAAAGTACTTCTTCTCAAATCTAACCAAAATCAGAACAGTGAATCCGGGTTTATTATAACCAGAGGTGGATTTGTCTTTATTAGTAGGTAGTTCATAAAAATGCGAAAGCTAGCTTGGTAGTAAAATACAGACTTCAAGCTTTATTGAAGAGGAGTACATAAATTAGGTTTTATAAACAGTGGTGGAAAACAATAATTACTTATTGAGGTTCAGTTAGCCCTAATTTACAGTTGCAACTGTAAATTAGCCAAACGTTCGTGAAAAAAGTTCTTTTAGGATAGCAGTTCAGACGCATCGTAATCTCTCGCCTTCGCCAAAAGTTTCATTCGATTATAAGTTTTGGTGGCAGCATACATCATTAAAATATTATTAAAATCTAGGGCGAGCACCATCGGAGGCTGAACACGGGCAATACGGTTCCATTCGCAGAGGAGAGAACAATCTTTTTTTTTTTATAAAGCGTCATTCATGACCAAAGTCCATAGTTAATCACTCATATTTGCTGCTATAAATGAGCGACTACTACGTGATATTGGAATTAGATATTCTTCAGGTGGGCAAATTTTTTCGAACGAAAATATTTGAGAAACGAT